AACAAATTCTTCTTCTTCCTCTGTTTACTCTTATTTTACAGTATTCTCTCTTTTTCTCTAGAGGACTGTGCTACCACCTTCCATGCCCTTAGAATATCATTAGTTGTGAAGTTCTGAAAGCACTCCAAGGTTTTACTCCAAAACGCAACCTTTATTTTTATGGCCTCTATTACTTCCTCCACAGTTCTACTCTTACCATTAAATATCCTGTTGTTCCTCTCTTCTCAAATCACCAAAACAATTGCTGCCTTTGTTTCTTTCCACATTAACCTCCCCCTTTTCTTTAGTTGCCTCAGGGAATTTGGGTTGAAAATGTCGACCACCTCTTGAGAAGGGACCCACCTATAGCCAAAAAGAGAGCAGAAAGAACTCCCAAACACAAGAACCAAAGGAACAAGATATAAATAAATGGGATATGGGTTCTTCACCATCCCTACAAAGGAAGCACATATGAGGAGAGAAGGAATTTAACTTAAATGGGCTAGAAGAACTAACGACAAATCGAGAAGGACCTAGGTGGAAGTAATAAAAATTGATTTGAGTAGTACCCATAATTTAATGATGGACATGGCACTGAATAGAATTGAGCAGTGAAAGAGGATTCATGTAGCTGATCCCATATAATTGGGATAAGGCTTAGATGATGATAGTGACCACCTGATTGGATGTCACTTTTGTGATACCGATTACACTATTGCTTCGATTACTTATCTTTGTTACATGAGTTCTGATAATTGAAATTTTATTATCATTATCATTATCATCTTCAAAAATTACCACATGCAATGCATGTGCGCACTTACTAATTAGGACAAAAGACCAATGGATACTTCTATATTGACATCTTTTCTTACCTTGGGTTGATAGTTCATAACAAGGGAGAGTTGAGGGTGCTGCCTATAGAATTGGAGCTGGATGGACAAAATGGAAAGGTGCATTTAGAGTCCAATGTGTTAGGTTAATACCACTTGGGCTAAAAGGAAAATTTTATAAGACAGTTACAAACCTAAAAATGTTGTGTGGAACAAAGTGTTGGGCAATCAAGAAACAAAATGTCCAAAAAATGTAGCAGAGATATGAATGTTTGAGATGAATGAGAAAACTGGAAAAGGTAGGATAAGAAAAGAGCATATTTGTATTAATCTAGGAGCAGCCCCAAAAGGTGACACAACAAGGGAAAACTTATTATGGTAGTTTGTTCGTGTGTAGAAAAGATCCTCTAAGCACCAATAAGAAGTGACCTGTTGCAAAGTTGAACGGTCTAGAAGAGCTAGGGGCAGGGCAAAAAGAAAATGGTTGGAATAGTAAGGAATGATTTGAGGGATCATAATTTGACAATGGTATGGCATTGGATAGAGTGGAGTGGTGATCCATATGATTGGAACAAGGCTTTGTTGAGTTCAGTTGAGTTGTAGCCTTGTAAACATTATAGTGAAATCTGGTTGTGGGAGCTTTCTCCAACTATCACTTCTCTTTCTTTATCTGACTGGCAAGTGTGAGAATGTGACCTCGAGTCTGAGAGTGGCCACTTTGTGGAAAAAATGCCAAAGGTTAGGACTGTATGCAGTACACTCCTCCCAAGTATCTTTTGTTTAGAAGACATTTAAAAGACTGGGAACCCTCAGGGATGCTGGAGCTTCTCCAAAGCTTGAGTATCACTGAAACTTATCTTTCTCAAGAAGACAAACAAATTTGGAGATGGGAGAAATCTGGTCTGTTTTCAGTTAAAATCCTTTTATTCCAAGATTGTAAGGATGGATGAGGGTTCTTTCCCAGCTGATTTGATTTGGCAGTCCCAGTTCCTTCAGAAGTCTCTTTTCTGGTGTGGACAGCAGTTCTTAATTCTTGTTTAACAAAGAAAAACTTGAGTAGAAGAGGAATGGTGGTTAATGGTGAAACCATGATTTTCAAGGCACCAGGGTGAGGCCAGGTGAGGCAATGGATTTTTTAATAAAGCAATGAATCCTAGGGTAGTAAATCCCTAGGTTCCATAGTAAGCAGCAACCATCTTTCACTATTAATTGTCTATAATCTTTACAAAAAATGTATAAACTTAATTTAAAAAATAGAAAATCAACATATTCATAAAAAAAGGAAGAAAGAAAATACATTTCAGAAAATAGAGGGGCTGAGCCTCTATTTTTTTCCTAGGAAAAGAAGAAAAGAAAGGATGAAAGAAGAACAAATGAGGTGTTGATTGAACTCCTTGCTTTCAGTTTAGGTTTTTAAGAAGGTGTTGATTAACACCTTGCTTATCAATAAGAAGAACAAATAGAGGGGCTGGGCCTCTATTTTTGGGTTCTTCATTGCTTATCAGTTTAGGTTTTGCAGTCTTTGGGGGTTCAAGACAGTATATACACGTTGATTGAACCCTAACAAATAAGAAAAATAATAAAAGAGACTAGTATTTTAACTCACAAACTGAATAATTTAGTTTTAATGATGTCTGTTTGTTATGATAATCTCATGAAGTGTAGAGCATAAAAGTATCCAAGAGCACTGTGTAAAAAATATCTTGGCAATTAAGCAAGGCGACCCTCCATGAGTGTGTTATCGCCTAGGCGTTGCCTTGACAACTATGACTTGTGTCTTGTGTAATGATGCAAAATGCAATGGAGATCTCTAATCACATTTTCATCTACTGCAAGCTCTAATCACATTTTTGGGGTGTTCAGTTGCAACCAGGAGTCAGTGGAAGATTCTGCTTTGGGTTGGAATCTTAGAGGACTAAGGAAGGAAGGAAAGATTGTGTGGAGGATCACTTCCTTTGCTGTTTTTCGGACTTTATGGAGAGAGTAATTCTAGGATTTTTGATGAAATGATAACAAATGTGACACTGGGGAGAGCCTGTAAGTTAAACCAAAGGCTAAAATTTTTTCTTGGGTGAGCGTGCATAGGGCTTTTTATAGGAAACGTCATGATACTTTTCTTGACAAAAGTCTGCTTTTTGTAAAGCTGGTTATTTAAGGCTGTAAGGTTATATATTCCCTTTGTAGAGATCCTTGGTGTATGGGGGGGTCTTTTAGCTATATGAATGCAAGTTATACTTTGCCTTCTTAAAGAAGGAAAAAACATTGCTTTTATTTCTTTTTCTATCATACTATGAACATTTAGTATGTATACAGTATATTTATAATTGATTTTAATGTTATTGATTAAAAGAACCATAAAAATTGATCAAAAGAATAATGATTTCTGTTTTGTGATTATGAATGCAGTTATTAGCGAGCATTACTGGAAATCCAAAAATTTCTGTGCCCATGACGATCGTTGTGTCAGGAATAGCAAAAATGTTTGTCGGTGAGCTTGTTGAAACAGGCAAGTTTACCATATTGGTTTGCAGATATTGAACTTAGAATTCCATTTGCAGACTAAAATATGCTTTTCTGCTTTTCCACTTTGAATATTGAGAGGAGATATGCTGTGGTACTGTTAGATTGTATTTTTACATGGACATGGACACAGGAATCAGAACTTGACTGTGCCTAGGTGTCTGACTCAGTTAGATGAAGATACCAAGGGACTCGTGGAGATGTCCATAAAAAGTATATGCTATAAGATTATCCATATGTTGTTGAAGTTTAACATTATAAACTTATTGAAAATGGTCTAAAAGATTATTTTTGTTACTTAAATAACATTTATAGGAAAACGACATTCGTTGTATACATTAACTATTAATTTATGTTGAATAAATAAGGAGAAAAAGAAAAATGTCACATGGAAGTGTCATTCAAGAATCCATGGAGTGACAGAGTCTTGTGCATGTCTGACACAGGCCCTTCATAAAATTTATTACTGGTGTGGAACCTCATCATTGGTTCCACAGCCCACTGAACAGCTAAAGCGTTCAGCTAATCCGAATTCACTCGAATAGCCCAATATTCGTCTCAGATTGGCTCAAATCCAAGCCTGATCTGTTGTAATATTATTGCAAATATTTCTTAATTATTAGGGGATAGAATGTGAAGATTTTTTATCATGGGCCCCATTGTAAATATGTGGGCCCCATGTATTTAAATACTGGTGTGGAACCTTATCATTGGTTCCACAGCCTGCTGAACAGCTAAAGCGTTCAGCTAAACCGTGCTCTATTCGAGCTTGGCTTGCCAGAAAAACATGAGGCTCAAGTTGGAGCTTGAGCTTGAATTTGGCTAGACTCAAAAGCTCATATTTGAGCTTGGCTCGGCTCAAGGTAAGCTTCCTATTTAAAAGATAAAAAATTATACTTGTGAAAAATAAAAGTCATACTTATAAAAAATTATTTCTTATTATACGTATAAAAATTAGGGAAAATTCCCAATAGGTACCCTGTACTTTAGGTTGAGTGCCAATTTAGTACCTAAACTTTAAAACATGACAATCTAGTACCCGAACTTTTGAAATGCGACAATCTAGTACCTACCGTTAATGGACCGTCAGTTATGTATATCATGTGACCTCATGTGCAATTTAAGACTTTTGTAAATGTCAAAATTACCCTTGGAAATAGAACACACTGTTCATCATCTTATTTCTCAGGAAAATGAAATAGAGCCCAAGCTCTCAACAGTCCAGACCATCATTTCATGATGAAAACCCATCAAGGCAAGAGCCAAAGGAAGACGGTTACAATTCATGTAAACTTGCCAGAGTTCAACAAATTTTCTAAAACTCGATCAAAATCTTCAAGTCTCTGATACTGAAGCTCCACTTCCAGAACACAAATCCTCAAGCTTTGATTTAAAGCTCAACTCTTCCCAATCTTCATAGCTTTATAATGACTTGAAACTTATAGAATTCACAGAACCCATGTCTAATATCCCAAGACCTACTTCTTGTTACGGTGAAAATTGATCAAACTCAGACCCTAAATGCTTGATCATATTCAGTTTCTATTATTACTCAAATCCCAACTCAGCAGCTCTGCAGCTCTGCAAGACTAAAAACTCAAATTTCCAATCTCCAGGTTTAAATAAACAAAACCCATGTCTAGAAACTAAGAAAATTCCAACTGAAGCTAAAGAAAAGTCCTCTTTTCTGTCTTTTCGAAATATCATTTTCTCAAATAATCAAAACAACCACTTTTCTAGAACCCAGCTCAAAGAATACATTCCCAATCAAGAGGAGGCTAAAGACCTCAACTGAGTTCCAAGAAAATTATCTATCTCGAATTCTTCTTCATATATCACCAAAAGACCCGTGTCAAAGACTCCCACTTGAAAAAACCTTCCTTTCTGAGAAGAAAATGAATAAGAAATAACTGTTAAGCGTAAAAAAAAATGTCAAAACTATTAAAAAGGTCAAAAAACAGGAATAGAAACAGAGTTTCTGGTCAGGTTAAACGACAATTTCTAGTCATGGGTGTAGTTGTCAGTCTTCACGTCCCTTCTATGTAAGCGTCTGATGGTCTGAACTTGACTCAACGGAAGAGATAGTTTGGCTTTGCCTTTGCTTCTTTCGTCAAACCATGCCATGTGAAAAGGATAACAGAGGAACTGTAATACAAAATTTGTTTTAAAAAATGACCCAGAACGGAGCCGTTCTGGCCACCGGTTTCTCGGTTGACAGTTCAACTGTTTGTAGGTGCTCGGCCTCTCTCTCTATAGTTGTTGCAAATTTGCAGATTGCAGATGGTTGATAAAGAAAATTAAATGACATTTGAAGGGTATTTGTGTCTTTTCCCATGACACTTAACGGCTGGTTAACAGCAGGTACTAGATTGTCGCATTTCGAAAGTTCGGGTACTAGATTGTCACGTTTTAAAGTTCGGATACTAAATTGGCACTCGGTCTAAAGTACAGGGTACCTATCGGGAATTTTCCCTAAAAATTAAGAATTTGTTTCATATGTATATAAAAATTAACAATTATACACTTAAAATTAGGAATTATTAAAAATTTATTTATTATTATACATATAAAAAATTAAAAATGCTATATATAATATAAGCTCGATTAGGCTCATGAGCTTCACGAGCTGATCTTCATTAGGCTCAAGCTTGGCTCAATTAGAAAACGAGCCTATAGATTTAGCTTGGACTCGATTTGAAACTTGGTTTAGACCGAGCTGATTGAGCTTTTAACGAGCCAAGCTTCTATTAGTTATTTATTGATTGTTGGTCAACTTTTATGTACTTGCATATTTGTTGGTTATTGGTTTTTGATTTAACTACAGGCTAATTGTCTTGATCTTATGCTTTGATGTCGAATCAAGTGTGAAATTGTTAATTTGATTTTAATAGGTGAGTTCCTATATTAAGGTTTTTAAGTTCTTTTTTCCCCAAAAGTGGCACCCAGTGTTTTAAAAGGCGTGGGAGGCGTATGCCTGGAGGCACGCCTCTAGGCGAGGCTCTCCCAAAATGCCCTGAGGCGTATGCTAGAGGCGCTGACACCTCTGAGGTGTACGCCTCATGCGCCTCATGCACATCTTATATAAAAAGACAAAAAAACAAAAAACAAAAAAAAAGGAAAGGAAAGGAAAGGAAAGGAAAAGAAAGGGAAGGGAAAGAAAAAGAAAGAGAAGAAAAAAAGAGATAAGGAAAGAAAAGAAAAGGGAAGGGAAGAAAAGATAAGGGGAAAGAAAGTGGTTTGCCCCCTGCCCCTCCGCTTCGACAAGACCCCCCTTTTCAACTAATGTTATGCATCTTATTCTTAATATAAAAGATTTTTATTAAAAATAAAGAAAAAATGAGATCCCCCCTTCCTCTTCATCCTCCTCCTAACCCCCCTCCTCTTACGCCTCCTTGTGTTCGGGAGGCTTACACTTGCATTCTGAACTACGCCTCACACCTCTAGGTAGTGGAACGCCTTGCATCATGCCTCCGCGTTTTAAAACATTGGTGGCACCTTACATTATTCAGACACATGCCTTGCCTTGTGCATCAGGCTCGAGGAATTTTTTTTTTATCCAAAACGATGTACCAGTCATGTCTTCTACCAGAAGATTTATAATATTTACAGGGGGGTTATTTAGGTATCTTCTACGAACACTTAGGCTTAAAGCCATATTAGCTAAACTGTCAGCACGTCTATTTGCTTCTCTGTAGCAATGAGAGAAGGTAACATTTGGACATTGGCTCTAGGAATTCGTGGCTTTAGTTGTGCTTCCTACTTTTAGAACACTAATATTGCCAAAGGTTAATCAAGCTACCAAATATCTTCATTATGAAGCACTTTGAAAATAGCCTGATTCTCTAGCACTAGTAGTTAGGTAACTGTAGCTATAAATGCTTTTGTCTGCTGATTCCTTGATCATGAGTATCACCTAGTTTCCTGTTATCATAGGCCATGTTTGGGAGTGCTTAAGTTAAAAATAAGTGCTTAAAAACCAGTGCTTATTCAAATAAGCACTTATTTTATATTGGGGGTTTGGTAGTCTTTTTCTCTAATAAACACTTAAATAAGCATCTGTAACTATTTTGTCCTTCATTTTCTTTCAAACTTTCAAAATATACCCTTTGAAAGCACATTTAAGAAAGTATTTTTATGAAAGCATTTTTACAAAAGCACTTTTATAAAAGCATTTTTTTGAAAATATTTTTACGAAAGCACTTTTAAGAAAGTACTTTTATGAAATCATTTTTACAGAAGTGCTTTCATAAAAGTACTTTTGTAAAAGTACTTTTATAAAATTCAACTAGGGAGAATTTTTTAAGTGGTATCTTAAAATTCAACTAGGGATAATTTTGGAAGAAAAAAATTGAATAAGTGCTTATTGTATAAACACTTAAAAAAAACTGAAAATTTGGGCTTAAAAAATAAGTTCTTATTTTTAAAATAAACACTTATTTTGGGCTTATTTCCCAAATATCAATAATTGCTTAATGGTCCAAGTAATCACTTATTTTAAATAAGCACTCACAAACATGGCCTTAGTAGATCATGTCGTTTGCCTTATTTGATGGTTCAGTTATGTTTTGGAAGGTAATGAAATTGTGTCTGACGGTAATGAAAACCTGGTGCTACAGGTAGGATGATTATGACAGAGAGAAGGGAAACTGGGCCAATCAGGCCCTGCCATATCCGGGAAGCATATAGAAGACTGAAGCTGGAGGGCAAGGTACCAAAGAGATCAGTACCAAGGCTTTTCCGATAGATGATGGACCCACCCCACTCCCTTTCTTCTCTCACTCAGGTTTCAACTGTTGATTTATTATATTTCACATGTTTTGATTTTTCATGCATTATACATACATACATATTATTTGGCTATTGGCGCAATTGTAAAATCTCAGGCTGGCAAGCGTGGGAATGCAGAGTTTGAGTCTGAGAATGGCCTTGTGCGAAAAAACGCCATAGGTTTGGACTGTATCCAGTTGCAAGATCTCAGAAAGCTGGGACGAAATTGTGTAATTACCTTTATACTCATAGGTCTGTTCTGATGTGTTTTCTGTTTATCATTCTTTCCATTTTCTGGTCTGATTCATGCTTTACTTTCCAAATTACAACCTATGGGTGATACCGGGCCCCCTTTATTATTTCCAAAAATGCAAAAGAAGCTTAATTGGATTATGAAATGCATCTCATCTTCATCTTTTAGAATCTCATTAAATGGCATTATAGGGGTACCAAACATGGTGATCCATTAATAAGAGAAATTTGTCATAAAGCAGAAAATAAGGCCATGTTGGTTTATTGCTCTAGGCCTTATTCTTTTAATTCTTGCTTATTCTGAGCAAGAATGAATTACATTAGAGTGTTTGGTTACAAAATTCTTGTCATGGGCCACATTCTTTTTAGAATGAAAAATCAGCCCATAGCACAAAAATTGAGGTAGTCTTCAACATGAAAAATAATCATGCCCTATCTTGTCATTTTCATTTTTTGAGGAAACTCTGCCTACAAACTCTTTGCATTGTTCATAGATGTTTACTAGTGGACTACCGTGGTTTATGAAAGAAATTTTACAAAATTACTTTTATGAAAGCATTTTTGTAAACACACTTTATGAAAGTACTTTTATAAAAGCGCTTTTATGAAAATACTTTTATAAAAGAGCTTTTATGGAAATACTTTTATAAAAGTAATTTTACAAAAGCACTTTTTAAAAAGTACTTTTACAAAAGCACTTTATGAAAGTATTTTTACAAAAACACTTTTATATAGGACACTTGCCAATCTAAAAAGAATTCATTTTTAGGAAAAAATTGTTTTGGTTCATAGCAATATTTTCTCATTCTACCTATTTTTACCCATTCTTGTCCATTTTAGAATTTCATCTTGGGTAAGTACGAGGAAGAATGAGAATTGAACCAAACATGGCATAAAATTCTATAATTGGTATGCCTAGCTCAAAAGGTGGGCAAAGAGCTACCCTTCTGGTTGTAATTAATTGCTGAAAATTTTAGAAAATTTCATTTGTGACAAAGAGCTACCTTATGCCTCTAGATTGCAACACCTTGGCTGCATTCCATCAGTTTTGAATTTTATGAGAACATTTTGCGTTTTCCTTGCATCTCCAAAACCGAAGTGTGGAACTTTTATAATGCTCTACCCTTTTTAACTTGCTTTTTTTTTTCCTTTAGGCTATATTTGGTTTGAAGGAAAAAGTAGGGAAACCTATACAAGGTTTGTAAAGGTTTTTCTATCTTTCCCTTCCTTTCCCTACTTTTTCCTTCAAACCAAACACCACATTAACAAATGGAAAGAAAAATAAAATTAGATATAAAAATTGATTGTCTCAATAATAAAGGAGTGGGCAAAATGGTTCCAACATAGTGCAAATTGATGGAATGCTAATGGTGGGAGTTTGGAATCTCAAAGTACAGGGTAACTCCCTACAAGATGCCGACTAGGTGCCTTGCCTAAACACCTTGTAACTAAGCACCCATCTAGGTGACTAGGTGCCTGTGGTCAGCAGATCCGGACTCAAGGTGAAGAGAATAAGAAAAAAATGAGTAGAAATGTAAAGAGCTTTTTTTGTCTCTCTCTCTCTCATTAAATAAAACAATAGCTCTACCCTTCTTTTTCTATGTCATTTATTCTTTCTTAAATTTTATCATATAAATTATTATGTTCTTTAGGCTCAGTTTGGACTTTGGAAGGAGTACAAATATGTAGAGTGCAAAACTATGTATTTTGTATGTATTTGTACTCCTTCCAAACTGAGCCTTAGTTGCTAATTTGATATAAAATTGTTCAATTAAATATTTATTATGTTAGTATAAGTATCATTTTTTAATCATCCTAAATATATTGATTTGTCATGTTTTGAGAGGAAATTTAATGTTAATAAAAAAATTGCTAATTTTCTAATTAATTTGCATGCTGATTTGTAGGTAAAACTAAATGATTGGCTAGACGCTTAGGTGCCCCCTCTATCACATATGAAAGTTCAGTGTCACTGCCCCCAAAGTACAGAGGTCTCAGAGGTTAATTGTTAATCTCATGGAAATTCCTAAGTTATCAGAAATAGAAAAGTATTTGGGGCTACCTATCGTCCAAGGTTTCCAAAATTTAAAGGATAAAAAGGTGCTTAACAATGTATATGTGTTTGGTTATGTGGGACTTTATAGATAGGGTGTTTTTGGATAAATGTTTAATTGAAAAACGTTATTTTAAATGTTTATTGTTTTTGTTTGGTTGGGTGTTTCAAGTAACACTCCATAAAGTCATGGTTTTTAAAAACGAACTGGTGGCTGAACTGGTCAGGGGTTCGGTTACCGGTTCGAACGGTCCGACCATTTGACCTGAACGGTCGGCCCGCTCTAACAAAAAAATTAAAAAAATAAAAAAAAATAAAAAATTGGAAAACGGTCAAAACTGTTCAAACGGTTAACCAGTCGGTTCAGTGGTTTGCTGACCAAAATCAACGATTTTGGGGAAAAAAGCGATTTTGGAGGAAAACGGAACCGATCAGGTGACTTGTTCCCGGTTTTTTTGGTCTGACCGTCCGTTCCGGTCTGGTTTTGAAAACAGTGCTTAAAGCTATTTTCATCTCAGCTTACAATTCTCTAGGTCTGGTGGAGCCAAGAAGTTTCTTTGGGGGGGGGCACCAATATACTTTGCTCCGCTCGTGCTCCAGGTAAGCATTTCATTTCAATAAACATATGGGACGTTGGGAGAAACCAGAATTTGAAATTTTTAATAAACATAACATATGGGGCGTTGGGAGAAACCAGAATTTGAAGTTTTCAATAAATGGGGCCTTGGGAGAAACCAGAATTTGATGTTTTGCCCAATGCCTCATGGACACAGGTCCTATCATTTCTGCTTTTTAATGTAAATATTGAAACTAAATATTGGTTTCATGCATAATAAGCCCCAATGCCTAAGTGGCATTGATGTGGCGGCTTATTTCAAATAAACGCCCAACAAACCAAATATAGTCAATACTATCACTAATTTGAAATAGAAATTACAGGATCCATGCCTTTGGGTTCTACCCTTTTGCCATTCCGCAAGGATAAGCCATTGGTCGTGAATAACCCAAGGTTCATTGTTTCTAACATTATCTAGGTCTTATTGCTACCTAAATCTAAAACTAAAATAGCCCCTACTCAAAGATTGGACCATCAAGTTTTATTCAGACCCCAACTCGCATACATCCTATTTGTAACATCCTGTAGGGGGATAGAGACCCTTGGAAAAAGACGACCTATTAGAAATAGACATCAAATACTCCTTGTTTCCTCATCTACGGCATCAGCAAAGTCAAATATATCCACCGCTTGATCCTCATTATTCTGCATTATCTGACTATGCAAGTCATGTTGATTCCTGACAGAGCCCTCAGTCTAGAGGAAGTTGGAAAGGAAAGAAAGAAGCTTCACAAGGGAGAAGAACCCTTGTAAAGAGGGAGTTCAACAGAGAGAAGCAGAGAAAAGTAGGGCCCGAACTAGACCTGTTTATATGTTGGGCTCAGGCTTGGCTTTTGTCAAAATTCTAATGGGTCTAGCCCAAAGTCTGAACCTGAGATTGTAAAGTAGGGCCCGAAGCCTGGCCCGTGAATAGGTCTACAGACAACTGAGAAACCCACAATTAACGTAGCTGATCACTGTGGATTTGAAGGTCTAACTTGGCTAACAATTATAGTGCGTGTTTTGTTCCATAGGCGTTTTCGTGATAGGTGTTTATCAAAATGCCACTATGTCGTTGCCAAATCAGCATTTTTCCCGTTATGTTCATCCTTACGCATCGATATTCATAAAAGTAGGTTTTGATTTATGTGTGCACCAACCGTTGGGGGAAGCTTCATTTTAACGCTTTTCCCAACGGTTGAGCATTTATTCATTGTTCCGCTGATAGAAGTCTAGTTGTCAATAAACAGTTTATCAAATACTTTTATCGGTTTTAAAGACAAGTCAAATACAAGCATTTATTTAATAAACGAAAACTATTACCAAACACATATTATGTGGACTTGAAGGAAAATTCCTTCAATCATGTGGACTTGAAGGTATTATATTTCACAACTCTTTTTGCTACAACACAAAGAACACCTAACGTGCCAAACAACCATGTGGACTTGAAGGAAAATTCCTTCAATCCAAATGTATCGGATCCCAAGGATTCTGATCTGAGGGAATTTTCCTTCAAGTCCACATGGTTGTTTGGCACGTTAGGTGTTCTCTGTGTTGTAGCAAAAAGAGTTGTGAAGTATAATACCTTGACTAGTTGACTAGGGCATGCAGAGCCGCTCTCATTAAAGTTGTGAAATGGAGGGATTTAAAGAGAAATATAACATCTTCGATATGGCAGGCAGAGGCAGAGCCCCTCAAAGTTGTTTTATGTTTCATCCCTATTTACCACATGACGTGCTAATCTGCTCTCCTTTATTAATCTTAATTCTTAAAGAGATAGATAAAATTGAAATTTCTTTTAAGCTATGTTTGGTTTGAAGGAAAAGATAGGGAAAGGAAGGGAAAGACAGGAAAACCAATACAAGATTTGTAAAGGTTTCCTTGCCTTTCTCCTCCTTTCCCTACACATTCCTTCAAACCAAACATAGCCTTAGGGTTTAGAAATGCTGAAAATATCAATAGTGCTAGCATGGCTAAGTTGGGTTGGAAGATTCTTATAGACCAAAGTAATATTTGGACCCATGTAATTTGGGGCTAAGTATATTAATGATGCTAGTTTCTATGATATTAAGCATAAAGAGCAGGGGTGCTCCTGCTAGAAGGGAATCCTTGATACTCGCAGCCTTATGTAAAAAGAAATTTAATGGTGATTGGTTAATGGGGATCAATCAGAATAACTTGGGGTCCGTTTGGTCCTTAGTTGAAATCAGAAATGAATTTCATTTAAATTGGAACCAGAATGGTCCATTCCTCTCACCTGGGGGGGGATGACCATTCCCTCAAATGGGGGAATGCCATTTTCTAATAGGATTTCGACTCCATCTAACCAAACAGTTGGAATTGGAATAGATCATTCCAATTCTGATTCTAGATCCTTATTCTTGTTGTGAATCAAACAGACCCTTAAATCCCCATTCACGACTGCATACTTTCTCTCAGCCAAAGATGAAAGTCTCAGGAACGTAACATAGGACTTAACAAAAGAGAATTCAAGCTAGTGATGGAATGCATCACAATAGAATAAGCAAATGCTGCCATGGCATTTAAACACGAGAGAAGATATATTATAAGTGAAAAGAATTCACAGTTTCCCCGGTTTGTTAGTTTAAGAAGAAAGAAATACAGATGATTGTAAAGGATTGGGTGGCTACCCATTTCTCTGGATGTGTATATATCCCCCATATACTTCATACTAGCAGAGAAGAGAATACATTAATATTATAGATAGTTCTGAGTTAATAACGGGTGTTCATATTCTCTATTTATTAATAACTACTTTATTAAAGTGGTCAACAGATAGAGGAAAGTCACGTCAGCCAACTTTATATAAAGTGAGGAAGAGAGCAGCTCATATCTGCATTAGAACCTCAGAATCCATTACACAGATACCATGGCTCACCTTCATTCTCCTCGAGATCTGCATTGCATTTCTCAGACACCTCATTGGTTTATCAGTAGGCTACGAGCAATATAATCCACTCTTTTCCTCTCTCTCCCTCTCTGTGTCTGTTCAAAAAGATTAAAAAAACTAGAAATAGTGTCTGACTTTTCCGGCATCATAGATTTATCCATCTTTTAAAACCGCTTGATCAGAGCTAACGATCCATTTTATCTCTGAGGTTGATGTTAGATTGAATCTGGCCCCATGGCTACGTATAAATCATTCCTTTCTTTCATTTTTAAATGTCCAATTGGACTTATAATGTTCAACTTTTGTAAGGAGGGGGTGGGGGAATATCCCTCCCTTAACCCTAGAGCCAAACGCGGAGGACATAATCATCAAAGCCTCCATAAACCTAAAAGTCAAATGGGCCCATTCATGATATGGCCCATGAAATAAAGAATCCAAGTTTGTGGTGTGGTTGGCACAGTGTTTTAATAGTCAGCCTGGACGGCTGGATCAGATGGTCGGACCGTGACAACCGGGAACCGGTGGTCTTTATAGCCACGTTCCGGTTAAATGACGATTTTGACAGGTTGGATGGGCAAACCGCCCAATTAATCGGTAAAACCGGGACCCAAAGATCATTTCGGTTTTCACTCCGATCGGTCTCTTTAAACACTGGAACTAGGCCATGTGTTGAAGAGCAACTAACTACAAATGCAGAGTCAATGGAGGCTGAAAGGGATGATGAATCATCATATAAGCCCTCATCATCAACATGTTTGGAGGATGGAGACATAGAGGCCTACATGGGCTCAGAAAAACAACTGTTTCATGAAGATCAATGAGTGATCTCGCTTTTTATTTTCAATTAAAGATATTCCTGTTTGGGCCCATAACTGGTTTGGAGCTTCTTCACTTCTTCCCCATTTTCCATTTCTTCATCTTTCCCAAAGACACTCACTCTCAGTAAGGACCCATCTCCTAGGCTCTTTTTCTTTTTCTTTTTAATATAAAAAAAAAAAATCAAAAGAAGTCTTACTCATTTTGGCCAAATAAACCTAAGCTTTATACACCTCTCTTTTCTATGCATGCATGAGAGAGAAGACAGTTAGAGAGAGAAAGAAAGTAAAGCTTATATAAAGTGAAGGATGCCAACATGCTTTCAAATCAACCGTGTTGCTTTTCTCTCTTCTTTTTTTTTCCTCTTGGTGTAGTAGTCTAAAGTGAGAGGTGCCTCGAATACTACTACTTATTTCTAAGCAAATAACAAAGAGAGAGCTGGTCCCCAAGAAGAGAGGGAACGTATATCTTCATCTTAGAAAGCAGAGAAATTCCATGCATAGATACCAACAACGATGTTTAAATAAATTCTACTTCAAACAAGTTGATTCATTATTCCTTATTAAATAAAATCTTCTTTTCTTTGCGTGTTGTCTTGGGCTTGATTTTCTTAAGCCCACCATTACCATTCATATATGGACCACTTTCCTCTTCTGGTATTCCCTTTTTTTTCTCTCTTTATTGGGTTGCAGTCCCTCCAATTTTCTTTTATTTTTCTCATCCTTCTATTCTTCAAACCTAGACCTTCAGGCTGTGTTTGATTTGACAAAAAATAATAGAGAATAGAGAATAGAGACTAAGTTGAGGAAAAGTTGTATAGGAATTTTACAAATTTTGTAAAGATCTTTCACTCAAAACTTGATTTCTATTTTCCCCTTATTTTCTACCATACCAGACAATAGCCTTAGGCTTTAGATTCAATGTTGCATCACTTTGATGTGCCACTAGAAAATAGAAGCGAGACATACCTAACTAGCCGGCCGATAGCTGGGGCACCACTAGCCACTACCACCACCATTAATGGTTAGAAATGCAAGGAGGAAAAGGTGTATATATGTAGGGTTTAGGTGTGTCAAAGTCTTCCCTCAGAGAAGACATGAAAATCAATCAGGAAAATATGATACTAGCAAAAACAAAGAAAAAAAAAAACAATTTTATGGAATTTACATACAGATTATCTGGGGACCTGGGGCACCACACTACATTAATGGTCAGAAATGCTGGTTGAACCGGTGAATTGGGAATCCAGTCGCACATTGGGAACATCTCCCATACTTGTATGTATGTTGTCATTCATAAATATGGATGTCTCCAATGCATGGCTTAATGTGTTATGAGGTTATTAAGGCAGTGGGAGGAGCAAATCCAAATTCTTGAACTGGTGACTTGGTGAGCTTTCTGGGTCCTGAATATTTCAAGGTTTTTATGGGTTGGTTTCAATATCAAGACAGATATATCCTTTCCACCTTCATTTGAGGGTGTGACATGAATATTTTCATTGACAGTAAAAACTCATGTATCCAACTACGCAACCATGAATTGATAAACCGCTTACAATTTTGTTTATCTTGGAGTAGTTTCAAATTGAACCCTCCACGGGAACATACTACATAAAAAAAGCAATAGAACGCCTCATGAAATGTAGCGTCTCATTGGCATCGATGTTGTTGCTCCAGAAAATGGTGGTATATCAGTACCATGTCAGAAAAACGGTATTCTAGGAAACATCTATTTGTTTGGAACCATTTTTCTATAAAAAAAATGGTGCTCTAAATCATGCCTTGGAAATCGAGAAGGTGTGGTTTGAAACAACATCGAATTTGGTGTTTTCTCAAATTGCAGTTCATTGCTGCCAATGAAGACGTGATGTGCCAATGACATGGACTTCCTATAATGGGTAACGGTGCTGAAAACAGACATGGAGCAGTGGTACTAAACAGAAAGTATTGTTGTTGCTCCAGGAAACATCTTACTTGACAGCAACGTTTCCAAACAGAAAAAAAAAGACACCATTTTCTCAAAAACCGATACTTTCAACCCACACATCAGCAACATCATCACCTTCTATATTTGGTACCATTGCTGTTTTTACTATTTCTACTGAAACACCAAATTTCACATTTCAGCTATTAATGCCAATGCTCAAATTTGCTATTTCTACTCAATACCCCTTTAGGGTGGCTGTGGTAAGGCTATCGTCGAGTGAGCTTTCAACTACAACATTGCATTGAATTGATAGAAAGCCGAAGTCTCTCTCTCTCTCTATAAAACAATAAAACAATAAAAATAACGGTATTCTAAATTTTCTTCGATCAGACAGTCCCCCTGCTGTTGCTGGGATCGAGCACAACTTTATATAAACCGAGCCCTTTAACTTTTCTAAACAAAGTAAAGATGAACGCTAAATATACCAAAAGAAAAGCAAAGCAATTCAAACCCACAACTCTGTCTTAACAGCATCCAAGGCTTCTTCTATCTCTCTTCTCTCTTCTCTCTTCTCTCTTTCTCTCTCCCCCCCCCCCTCTCTCTCTGTAACTCACTAAGGAAAGAAACCTTCCAAGTTTGAAATGCCCACTGCTTTTCTTCAATCCTGATAGAAAAAAAAAAAGGAATGGGTTCTGTAGAAGGAATCCACCTCCATTCCACAAAGCTTTCAATGGCTGTTTCTGCTATGAGACGTGTCTTCCTTTCTTTTTTACTTCTGTTTCTCGTTTCTTCTTCTCCTTCTTATTCAATTTCTTTACACAATTCATCATCTCTTCAGATGCAAGCTTCAATCTTTCTTTCCCTTAAACAGGCTTTCTACGTTCCCACCACTTGTCTTGATACTTGGAATGAATCCAACTTTATGTCCCTCTGTTCATGGACTGGCATCCAATGTGATGACATGGGAAGTTCAGTAGTATCGCTTGATATATCCAATTTTAACATCTCCGGGGTTATATCCCCTGCAATCGGCGAACTCCAAAGTCTTCTGAACCTTTCCATCGCTGGAAATAGTTTCTCCGGCCTATTTCCGCCTGAACTCCATAAGCTAACCAGTCTTCGATTTCTCAACATATCCAACAACCAGTTCAATGGGAGCTTGAGCTGGAATTTCTCAAGTTTAAGGGAGCTGGAAGTGTTGGACGTTTACAACAATAACTTCTTCGGGTCTCTTCCTCTTGGGGTGACGGAGCTTCCGAAACTGAAGCATTTGGATCTTGGTGGGAATTATATCTCAGGGAAGATACCACCCAGTTATGGAGCCATGGAGGAGCTGAACTATCTCTCCCTTGCTGGAAACGATTTGGGAGGTCTTATACCGGGTGAGCTTGGCAATCTTACTAACCTGAAGCAGCTGTATTTGGGTTACTTCAACGAATTCGATGGTGGTATCCCGCCGGAGTTCGGCAAGCTGGTCAATCTGGTTCATCTCGACCTTTCAAGTTGCGGATTGGAAGGCCCAATTCCGCCAGAATTGGGTAATCTAAACAAGTTGGACACTCTGTTCTTACAGACCAATCAGCTAAGCGGTTCTATTCCACACCAGTTTGGCAACTTGAGTAGCCTGAAATCTCTTGATCTTTCAAACAATGGTCTCACGGGAGAGATTCCGGTTGAGTTCTCAGAGCTCCGGGAGCTTTCCCTCTTGCATTTATTTATCAACAAGCTGCACGGGGAGATTCCACGTTTCATTGCAGAGCTACCAAAATTAGAAGTGTTGAAGCTTTGGCAGAATAACTTCACAGGGACCATTCCCCCAAAGCTTGGACAGAATGGTAAACTGACAGAACTCGATCTCTCTACTAATAAGCTTACTGGTTTGGTCCCTAGATCTCTCTGCCTGGGAAGGAAGCTCAGAATCTTGATTTTGCTCAACAATTTTCTGTTTGGGCCACTTCCCGATGATCTTGGAGACTGTGTGACACTGTTGAGAGTTCGGCTTGGGCAGAACTACTTGAGTGGTTCGATTCCTTATGGGTTTCTTTACTTGCCGGAGCTGTCACTAATGGAACTCCAGAACAATTACCTTACTGGGTGGTTTGCGGAAGATCCAAACAAGGTACCTTCGAAACTAGGCCAGTTGAATCTCTCAAACAATCGCCTATCTGGGTCTATTCCATCTTCTATCGGAAATTTCTCAAGCTTGCAGGCGCTTTTACTCGGTGGAAACCAATTCACAGGGGAGATTCCATCTGAACTGGGCCGATTAAAAAATTTGCTCAAGTTAGACATGAGCAGAAACAACCTGACTGGTAGAATCCCTCCAGATATAGGTAATTGCCTGCTACTGACTTATTTAGACTTGAGCCAGAACCAACTCTCTGGTCCTATCCCAGTTCAAATCTCTCAAATTCACATACTGAATTACCTTAACATTTCCTGGAACCACTTAAACCAAAGCCTTCCAAAGGAAATTGGAGCCATTAAGAGCCTAACCTCAGCAGATTTCTCACACAATGATTTCTCTGGTCGGATACCTGAGAGCGGCCAATTTGCATATTTTAACTCCACTTCATTTGTGGGTAATCCTCGACTCTGTGGTTCCTATTTGAACCCATGCAACTATTCAGCTACGGCACCCTTGCAGTTTGATGATGGACAAAGTGCTAGGCCTCCAGTCACCAGCAGATTTAAGCTCCTCTTTGCATTGTGCCTCTTGGTTTGTTCAGTGGTTTTTGTAATTCTGGCAGTCATCAAGACACGTTCTGTAAGGAGGAGGAGTTCAAAGACATGGAGGCTGACAGCATTCCAGAAGCTAGAATTTGGCAGTGAAGATATTCTGGAGTGCTTGAAGGAAAACAACATCATAGGAAGAGGTGGAGCTGGGATTGTTTATAAGGGAACAATGCCAAATGGAGAAGAAGTTGCAGTTAAGAGACTTCTGGGAATAAGCAAAGGTTCTTCCCATGATAATGGATTCTCTGCTGAGATACAGACACTGGGCAGGATCCGGCATCGGAATATCGTGCGGTTGTTAGCGTTTTGTTCGAATAAGGAAACCAATTTGCTTGTTTATGAATACATGCCCAATGGGAGCCTGGGTGAAGTTCTCCATGGGAAGAGAGGGGGATATCTGGAATGGGATACTAGGCTCAAAATAGCCATTGAAGCTGCCAAAGGCCTGTGTTACTTGCATCACGATTGTTCTCCACTAATTGTCCATAGGGATGTGAAGTCAAATAACATCTTGCTGGACTCTGACTTTGAAGCCCATGTAGCAGATTTTGGCTTGGCCAAGTTCTTACAAGATACTGGGACTTCAGAGTGCATGTCTGCCATTGCTGGTTCCTATGGTTACATTGCTCCAGGTATGTTTCTAATTCTCTACTCATGAAGCAAATGCATTTCAGATCTAATTGAAGAATGTTAGGGAAATGTTAAACCTAAGATGTAGCTAAGCTTGTGCCAGTTAACTCAGTGACCCGACCCTGATGACATTCATGCACTTGGAACATTATCTGAGCAGAAAAATAATTAAGTTTGCTATAAAGTAAAGTAAATGTAGAGGGCATGAAATTGATGCAATAGCCCCAGGTCTGTCTTCCATAGGACAGTGGGATCTGAGCCTTCTTTGGCCAGGAGGGACCCTGATATCATTCATCTAAGTCACAGCAAGCCATGCAATGTCTTGGTTTCCGGGCTCTTATGTACTAGAAGGATTATGTGGTGGTGTTGTCATCATTGGCCTATAATTTGATGCAGACCATATATATACTCCGTTCCGTTCAATTGAGGCAATGGCTGTAAGCCACTGTTTGTTGATGCTCTTGCAGTTTTTGGTCAGTTGAAACTAGGCACTGTCAATTTATGGTTCACTGAGTCAGGGGTTGGATGATCCTGGACTTTGTTCATCTGCTTTTGGATAACAAAAAAGCTAAGAAATCCAGAAACAAGAGATTCCTTTTGCTGAACAATTACCAGAGTGGTAAATAATGGTCATGTGGAGTCCAATAAGAGAGAGCAAGAGCACCAACACAAAGGAGAATCCTTTTACTTTTCTCCCTCCCCCAGACTCCACCACAATAAAGGGTTGTGCTTTTGTTTGCCTTGGAATCCATGAACCATGCACATTCAGACCAATCGCAAACACCTTTTTGACTAAAACCCACAATTTTATCAGTTATCCCAGTGGAAAAGAAAAAGGAGGAAAAAAAAAAAGAGTCCAAGATACACTAAAACATGATCCTGATCGGGATCCAAGCTTTATTTTTCCTGAACCCTAGAAAGAAAATACATATTTACTATTAGAGTACACAGTACGTACACAAAGCACAAGTTCCTTTTCTTTTTATTCTCAGGTTTGTTACTTTCCTAGGCAGATCAATTTTACTCTTCTCTGTGATTGAAATTGAAATTTAATGGTGGGTATGGATGAAAAGACCTACTTGACCCTTCTGAACTTCACTTGAAGGGTTAAGTTCAGAGAGATCTACACTTGAGAGCCAGTAGGAGACATACAAGTTAAAGATTATGCTATTGTGTTTTAAGATTAAAAGACGCACCCCTGCATTGCCTAATTTTGTTTGCTTCTGCTGTGTGACAGAGTATGCGTACACATTGAGAGTGGACGAGAAGAGTGACGTTTACAGCTTTGGAGTGGTACTGTTGGAACTGATAACAGGTCGAAGGCCTGTTGGTGATTTTGGAGAGGAGGGATTAGACATTGTTCAATGGACTAAGATGAACACCAACTGGAACAAAGAAGGGGTGATGAAAATCCTGGATGAACGTTTAACCAATGTTCCATTGGATGAGGCGATGCAGGTGTTCTTCGTGGGTATGCTCTGTGTCCAAGAGCACAGTGTGGAGAGACCCACCATGAGGGAAGTTGTTCAGATGCTGGTACAAGCTAAGCAACCAAGCACATTCCCTTCACGATGAACTTTCCTCATATTTGTTTCTGTGTATACAAGTTTTGTCAGTGTTTTCCTCTATCTTGAGCTCAACGATCTAATATATATATAAATATAACCAAAGCTGCAGTCGGTTGGAATTGATTGGATCATAATATCACCACCCAATTCACCCGGTTTGTTCTTTCATTTCAATTACACAGTGCATTTATTTGTCTTCATTGTGAGAAACTGTGAAAGTGAAACCATTCTTTTAAGTCCGAGCTTTGAAATTTGCTCCACAACACAAGAAGAGAGATGTGAGATGTTACTTTTCACAGTACGTACTTGATTTTTGTTGTTGGTTTTTGGCGTGTGAGAGTGTGAGAGTGAGTGGAGAGGAAGAGTCCGAGTAATGCGACTAATGAGCGTTCAGACTTCGGAGTTATTTTGTACGCTGAGCTGATGAGTGATAATGATAAATCACAAGCTACCACCATATACCAACCCTGGAACTCTGGAAGCCAAACGTGGCCTGCTTCCCAAACTGGCTCCAATGGCTGAATAGCCTGAATTTGATCACTTTGTTTTATTATTATTATTTTCTTTTTCTTCTTACATGTATTCTGTAATCTTTTGTACCGTCCGGTGTTCAGAAAGAGGTTATGGTTAGACCAATCAGTTCATGGATGAGCCGTCCGGTTCAAATGAACTTAGCACCATTTCAGAACGGGGCTTGATCCTGGTTTATCCGGTTCTGACATCTAATTTTAATAAAAAAGTTATGTAACAATATAACCTTATGATTTAAAATTGTTATAATAATTTTATTAATGTAATTGATAAAATAAAACTTTAAAATTATAAAATAGTTAATAAATTATTGAGAAAATATATTTCAAGCTTTCATTTTATTATAATTTAATATTCATTCAATTCCATTTAAATGATTATATTAATTTAAGTAAAATTTGACATTAATGGGAATGCCATATAGCTCCTTTTGCTTCAATTTAATTCAATTCCATAGGTCCTGATAAAATTAATAAAAATGAAATATTTTTGCACATATACATACGTTTGTAAATTTTCAATGTGAGCTGATTAATCAACCCAAGCTTGAGCCCAATCCAAGTATGTCAAATTTCAGTATAGGCTGGCTTACAGATTGGATTTGGGCCTTAAGCCTAAGTCTAAGGGTTGGGCCTAAGTTAACCTTAAACCTAGGCCAACTAGTTCGACTTGTACCCTACATGTAAAAAGAGCAAAGACGCATAGTAGGCCTAAAGGTGGGGCCAGACCAACCCATCTTGGCCTTGGTCCTGTATCATCATTAAGCCAGTGTTTGGTTTGAAGGAAAAAGTAGGAAAAGGAAGGGAAATGTAGGGAAACATTTACAAAACCTTGCATAGGTTTCCCTAAGTTTCCCTTCATTTTCCTACTTTTTCCTTCAAACCAAACATATCTTAATTGTATAGTTTCTTCTTCTTCTTCTTTTTCTTCGTTTTTTTGGTGGTACCATGGGGCTACACAATGGAGGAGTAGCTAAGAGTGCAACTTGGGTGAGCCTGACTTGAGCCTAGACAAGCCTAGCTCACAATTTTACAAGAGTTGGTCTTAGGTAGGGGTACAATCGAATCAAGCTTTAATAAAATTTGATTAGGCTTGATTCGAATTCAATGCCAATCGGATTCAAATCTTAGGGTAAGTGCAATTAATTTTATAAAATGTAAAAATATATTAGTTTTTTCTTAGTTCAAGCTGAACTTGAACTTATTGGATATATATTTGAATGAAACTTGAATCGGAAAATAGAGTTCAAATTGAACTCGAACTCCAATTTGAATATAGGAGTATTTTAGTTGAATTGGCTTAGACATGCTGAATTTGGCTTGTCCACCCTTAGTCTTGGGCCCAAAACACCAGCCTTTTCTATTTTTTTAGGTCAGACTCGGGTCTATCCTTTAGGTAAGCTGATCCCAGCCTGATCAGACACACACGCACACCCATCAAACCCAATTAACCAACTTGAACCCATCCCAAACCCGGGTCCAACCTGAGTATGCCAAATTTTAGTTTGGGTTGGGCCTTGGTTGGACAAATTGGGGCCTTAGCTCAAACCCTAGTGAAGGTGGCATTCAATCCCAAGTCTCCATTACAACCAACCAGCTAGAGGCCTTATCAACTAGGGGTGAGCATGGGTTTGTTTAGTTCAGTTCCATGGCAAAACCTGGAACCTACACTATAGGGGTCAGTTCCAAGTTTTTGGAACTGAAACCTACCCTATGAAGGTCGGTTCTGGGGCCGATTCTAGGATTGGAAGTTTCGGGATCAGTTCCAAGGTCTATTCATGGAACTTGTTCTTTCTTTACAATCTCCCTTAAGAAAAGAAGCATGTTCTTTCCAAATCTTGACTTTCAATAAATATAATATATAGTTTAAAACTTACATTATTTTTATTGATGAAATTGAGTAATTTCATATGTAGATTATTGTGATATAATAATAATTGTTCAAAACTTAAATATTAACTTTTACATTACTTTTTATACACATTCAAATATTAAAATGAAAACAAATGATCAAATCGCTTAACTCAATGGTTAAGTGAGACCATGGCCTTTGTAACCATGAGTGCTTAAGTTTAAATCTTTACATCTTCAAAAGTATTTTAGGGTTTATTTCAAGGCAAATTTGATTCCAAGGCTAGTTCCACCAAGGCCAAATCATTGGGTTGGTTCGGGTAAGGTAAACCCTTAGACTTTGGAACTGGCCTAGGCGGGGGTCGGTTCCAAGAATTTGGAACTAGACCCTACCCTATAACAAATTGGGTAGGGTTAGTTCAAGGCCAATTTGAGATCGGTTCCATTCAGTTTTGGGTAAAACCTATCTATTTACTACCAACCGAACTAGTTAGCATTTAACGCCCGTGTCTCATATTCTTTCTTGGTATTTACACCTTACCCTAATTATATAGTTGTTAAGATGAATGTATAGGTGGTTGTTTGATACTCTAAACACAAGACAAATGGCCTTTTGACCTATTTCAAGGAATTGGGATTAACTGAATGCAATGGTTGTTTAACGGGCTACAAAACCAATGAAAAGGTTCTGAAAAATATGGGTCCCATGTATTTTATTACTGACATATAACCTTATCATTGGTTGGTATGGGTTTCATCTATTTTATTACTGATATGTAACCTTATCATTAATTCCCCAAACAGCATCTGTTCAGTTAATTCTTATTTATTTCATGGGGTAGGGAGGCCTAAGACCTATCCTTTAACCTATATTCGACAAAAATAAATTAATAAAACCTCAAATACCCACATTCGACTTTCAGATTCCAACACTTTTCCCCCACTGGCCTATTTCATAAGATCATTTTGTAGAAAATTGATAAAATGTAACAAAAATTAGAAAATAAAGAAAAAATAGGAAATTGTAGATAATACAGAAAATGCAGAAAAAGAGAACATACTAAAAAAATACTAAAAATGCAAAAAAAAAAGAAGAAAAAAGAAAGATATGGATATGGTGAGAACTTGACTATTTGAGATGGGGCAAAGGGTTAGAATCTGAATGCATGGTTCGTCAAATTCCAAATGGTGACGGTGGGGCGGACCAAAAGGGAAATCGAAAACAACAAATCAAATCAACAATGATCCCGAAGTCAACAAACGAAGTCTCAGACAAGGCGGCTTAGGCATACCATCCGCAACAAGCAGGCACAGGTGGAGGGGGGAGAGAGAGAGAGAGAGAGAGAGAGAGGCGGAAGCGATGAATGGTACTGGTGGTGAGGCAGGTGCTGTTCCTGGGCAGATAACAACACCTCCTCTGCATCCAGCAATTGCACCACTGTCATACTTGTTGGGGACATGGCGAGGCGAAGGTGAGGGTGGTTTTCCCACCATCAACTCCTTCAAGTATGGAGAAGAACTCAGTTTCTCTCACTCTGGAAAGGTACCAAAACACTACTCTCCTCGCCTCGCATTTTTTACTTCATTCCAGACCATGATCTATGTTTCTTTCCTCTTAAGTAACTGGTATGCCGAAATTTCTATTTCTTTTTCTTGTCTGTATTTGTTGTTTTGAAATTCGAAATTGGAGACTAGGGATGTTAAAAGCTTCATTCATCTTAGTAATTTGCTTTTCTTTTTTCTGTTTTAATTCTTTTGATACTCGAGAAGCCTGTTATATCTTATTCTCAAAAGACATGGAAATTGGCCTCTGGAGAGCCAATGCACGCAGAGAGTGGTTACTGGCGGCCCAAACCGGACGGATCCATTGAAGTCGTAATTGCTCAAAGCACTGGTCTTGTGGAAGTTCAGGTATTGTTTTTTAATGTTTTGACATACTGTTATGTACCTTTCGATGCTAACTTCTCTGTAATGTAATGGGTTTTCTTTTAAAAAAATCATGTATGATTGATACTGATTTCTGAAATCGATCTGACGCATGTATTGTCCACTGTGCGCTAGAATGTAAGGTTGAGCCCTATATACAGAAGTAAAATTATGTTTATTGGTACATATCTGTTGAAAAAAAATCTTTATTTTGTTATTTGTTGGTCAACTGTCCTAGTTTTTAGGAAGGTTGTTATTAGTTGGAGCATTGCTGAACTAGTTTTCAGCAAGTTTGTTAAGTGGTTGTGATTTTACCAAATCTTTAGCTTAGTGGTTATTGGTTCCTATTTTTATGCTTCTATCTGTTGATGTACGTGCCTATTTAAAGGCCATTCGCTTAATGAAATTAAGTAGTGTGTTGTTTTCATTCACCAGAGATTTCCTACTCTATTGCCTTCTCTTTGCAACAGTGGTATCAGAGCCACAAAAGTGAAAAAGGAAGGTTTCAAAAAATGCCCATATGAGCATACGCTTTACACAAAAAAGTTAAAATGGAGGAAAACTGCTTATTGTGTGCTTATATGTAGACGATTTGATATACTCTGGAAATGATAGAGCAATGTTTGAAAACTTTAAACAATCCATGATGCTTGAGTTTGAAATGTCAGATCTTGGGATAATGCATTACTTTCTTGGCATAGAAGTAGTGCAATCTGATATTGGATTTTTCACAAGCTTCAATCCTGACTCAACTGGAGTAGTGGTTGAGTTGCAGTTCTTCATATCGAACCTGTCCAAAATTTCTTGGGCATATTTCTTTTGAGACACAAAAATTCCAGCATCAGATTGCACTACTTCTATGCCAAGAAAGTAATGCATTATCCCAAGATCAGACATTTCAAACTCAAGCATCATGGATTGTTTAAAGTTTTCAAACATTGCTCTATCATTTCCAGAGTATATCAAATCGTCTGCATATAAGCACACAATAAGCAGTTTTCCTCCATTTTCACTTTTTGTGTAAAGCGTATGCTCGTATGGGCATTATTTGAAACCTTCCTTTAAAAAATAAGAATCTATATGACTATACCAAGCTCTAGGTGCTTGTTTTAGTCCGTATAGAGCCTTTTTTAATTTGTAAACTTTATGCTCACTGTCGAGTTTCACATAACCAGGAGGTTGATCAATAAATACCTCTTCTTTTAAATCTCCATGTAAAAATGCAGATTTCACATCCAATTGGAAAATGGGCCATGACTTTTGTGTTGCCAATGCAATTATCAATCTGATTGTGTCATGTCTTTCTACAGGAGCAAATACTTCTTTGTAGTCCACACCAAACTCTTGCTTATAACCTTCGACCACCAAACGCGCCTTGTACTTGTCAACTTTGCCATTCTCCTTCAACTTCGTCTTGTAAACCCACTTAACACCGATCGTCTTTTGTCCCTTTGGAAGGTCTGTCAATTCCCAGGTTTTATTTCTTTCAATAGCTGCAATCTCTTCATCCATGGCTTTCTGCCATTTTTCTTCTTTGACAGCAACTTCAAAAGCTATAGGATCACAATCTGAAAATAGGGCAAAATGTGTAAGTGGATCATCAATATCATTTATGTTGGGTACCTCATAGTCTGACATCCATGCTGGTTTTCTTCTGACACGCTGAGAACGAGAACCTGTTGCAACATCAAGTTGTTCATCAGATTCTGTTGTTGGTGGTGAAGTTTCAGAGGCTGTAGGGATGTCATTTTGAGTATTATGAGGGGCTGGAATTGCTGGAGCATTTTGTTGTTGCTGCTGCTGCGTTTCATTTGCATCTCCCTCATCAAAATCTGCTGGAAGTTGCTGTCCACCTGTATTGTTGCTCCATAACCGTGTCTTTTTTTCATCAAAAATGACGTCACGACTAATAACAATTTTCTTGGTGATAAGATTATACAATTTGTAGGCCTTTGAATGATCACTAAAACCAAGAAAAATGCATTTTTCACCTTTGTCATCTAACTTTCTTCTTCTTTGATCTGGAACATGGGCGTATGCTATACACCCGAACACACGAAAATGATCTACAGCTGGTCTATTCCCACTCCATGCTTCTTTAGGAGTTATATTTTGAACAACTAGTGTGGGGCTTCTGTTCAAAATATGAACACTCCAACTGACTGCTTCAAGCCAGAAACTCTTAGGAAGACTACTTCTTTGTTGAAGGCTTCACACCATATTAAGAATCGTTCTATTTTTCCTCTCGCTTACACCGTTTTACTGAGGTGTATAAGCTGCGGTCAGCTGTCTTTTAATTCCATGTTTGCCACAAAAATCAGCAAACTCTTGTGAGTTGTACTCTTCACCTCGGTTGGTACGTAAAATCTTAATTGGACTGCCAACTTCATTTTCAGCTAGTGCTTTAAACCTTTGAAAGTCTGCAAAAGCCTCCGACTTTTCCTACAAAAAATACACCTAGGTTTCTCGGCTAAAGTCATCAATAAACGATATAAAGTATCATTTACCTCCATTTGATGTTGGTATAATTGGCCCACACAAATCAGAATGTACTAGTTCCAGCGCCTTCTTAGCCCTCCAAGATTTTCCTTTTGGAAAAACATCTCTGTGTTGTTTGCTAACAACACATTCCTCGCAGATTTCTGAAGGAGACTCAAATTCGGGAAGGCCTGCCACCATGTTTTTCTGCTGCAAAGTCTTCAAACCACCAAAACTGAGATGACCATAGCGAAAATGCCATAGCCATGCTGTGTCTTTTAGTTTTGCAACGAGACATTTGTGGGTAATGTGATGGAGATACAAAGGAAACATCCGATTTGCTGTCATCCTTACTTGGGCAATTAAACCCAACTTTTCATCTTGGATTCGACAAACTCCATCCTTAATTGAAATCTCATATCCCTTTTCTTGAAGCTGTCCAACACTAAGCAGATTAGTTTTTAGATTTGGAACAAATAACACTTTGGAAATAGAATGAGACTTTCCTTTGGTTTGAATTATAACACTTCCTTTTCCCAAAACAGATACTCTAGAGTTATCACCAAATTTAATAGTATCTCGGAATGATTCATCCAAATCAGAGAAAATTGATTTGTCTCCACACATATGGTTGTTGCAGCTCGTATCCAGGTACCATAAATTCGGGTGAGTTTCCTCCATAGTATGACACACCATTAGGAGAGAAACTTCTTCTTCTTTTTCCTTTTCTGCAAAGTTAGACCTTTCCCCTCGATGTTTATTTAAATTTGTACGGCATTCTGAGCGATAGTGACCATACCTGTGACAACGATAACATTCCACCTTGGATTTTTCAGTTGACTTTGGTTTAGATCCTGTTGAACTCTGAGCATCACGAGCCTTCCAGTTTCCTTGAGATTCGGCACCTTTATTGTCTCATTGCCTTTCCATCCACCCTTTCCATGTCCTCTTGAGCTTGTTGCTGCTTGCAGTGCTTGTTCTTCATTGTCTTGCTGGGTTATTTTCTGCTCATGAACCAGCAAAGAGTTTTGCAATTCATCCACCCTTTCCATGTCCTCTTGAGCTTGTTGCTGCCTGCAGTGCTTGTTCTTCATTGTCTTGCTGGGTTATTTTCTGCTCATGAACCAGCAAAGAGTT